AATCTCTATAGATATATAAAAAGATTGCATAAACAAGAAGCTGGCCGTTGCTTACACTTGGTCCTGTGCAATTGTATATGCTTTTCTTATAATAAATTACTGTGAAAATTAGTTAGTAATAATTCTATTCCGTATGACTGAGACATTAAATATAGATATATAAGCATCATTATTAAGATATTACAAATTAATAAACTAAATTTTTAATTACAAGCGAAAAAATAAATTCTTAATTAACTTTAGTAAACATGCAACTTATAATAAATCTTTAGTAAAAATTATGACCATTTTTATTCTCATTTCTTATTACCTTTTCATGATAAGAAAATATTTTCTATGTTAAACAAGTATAAACTCATCAAATATTTCAAATTTCGACCCATTTTTTTCCAAACATGTAACTTTTCCATCAAAACTTGTCGAGTTGCATCGCATGTGAAGCCACTTTTTTGCTTTTTCTTGTCGCTCCTATAACGTTCTTCTATCTTTTTTTTATTTTTATGATCTAAGCTGTTTTTCTTAAATATCTCTATTTTAAACAAACTATTTTTAACACCTTAGTTAACTAGCAATTGATTAGAGAATGTTCCACTATTATATTCGTTTGAGAACTATGATTATCATGTCCTTCAAATATTTTAATTTTAAAGTTAATAATGTAATTGAGATGTTAATAAATATTTAACTGAGTTTTGGCATTTTATTTTTCTTTAAAAAAGTTCATAAAGTCCCATGTTCAAAAAACAACATAAAATAAATCAATTGTAAGAATTTTTTTCTGAATATAAGAAGTTAGACAACCTAACCGTTATTTTACATCTATAAAATTCAAAACATTTTCAAAATTGATTTTCACATAATCATTTTTTACATTAATATTGCTACTAATCAGCACGTGCCAAAGACACGTGCCACGTTCACTAGTTTCTTAAAAAGAGTCATTTGCCTCTATGTACCTTCTTTTCGCTCTGTATAAAATGTGTTAAAAGTATGTTGGGCCTAAGCCCAAGAATGTGAAAGGATAGCCCAACTTACTATGCCCTTTGAATAACAAGACCTTATTGAAAGTGCAGCAAAAAAAGTAAGGAAATTTAGAGGGGTCAATTAGAGAGAAGTAACTTCTACCATTTTATTTCATTCAATTTTTATTATTGATTCAGTTAATTGGCGATTAACTGTATCAAATGAAATGATAAAAACCAACAACCACTTGTTAAAAATGATATATAGTCAAATTGACTGAAGTTATAGGAATTAGAGCTGCAAATTTGAGGCGCCGATATAGAGCCAAATGATGAAATTACGTCGAGTCAATATGAGTGAGAAGGACATCAATTGCTTGAACTTTATAAGGCTATTCCTTATAAATGAAAAATAAAAAAAGCTAATTCGGTGGGCCGACCTTAGTCGGAAAAAAGATCTAAAAAATGGAGAATTTACTCTTGAGAGTATATGAGTCTAGACATTTACTCCTTACTCTTGATAAATACCTTTTTGTTAGTGTAGTTATTTGACTAAAAACTTTTTAGTGAAAAGGTTATGAATCAAGAGTAAATGGTAAAAATCCTGACACATGCACTTTCAATGGGTAAAAGACTACCCAAAAGATTTTCAAGCATAGAACCTCGACCCAGCATAGCCAGGAGGTTCAAGTCAGGCTCAGGACAAAACGATTAGCTTCAGACTAGCCGTTTGGACCCAAACTTACAGCTCGAAGAGGAATACCGTTACGAGGGTGTAACCATTTAATTAATGTTAACTTGTACAGTTCACACTCTTTGGCTCTACCCATAATTATCCAATAATAGGTCTTTCACAATGAGACTCACCTATACAGTAAGGTTATTTAATTATGAATATTAGTTGAGTAGCTAACCCTATTAGTCCGTTCTTGCAAGAGTCACGACATAATCTTTCCGCTCTTTAAATAGGATTTCCCTACTTAATGAATAGCATTTGCTACCAATGAGAAATTCTTTCTCATCTTAAATTAAAATAAAAAGTAGAAGTGTTTGGATTTGTACCAATAGCAACCATAAATTAATTTGATACCACAATAGAAGGGTATGATAGATTTTTTTTAGATTTTTAGCTATTTTAATTTTTTGTATAGTGAATGGTGGTCTTCCATTCTATCATATTCACTGGTATTGATCATTTATGTTGGATCAATTGGTTTTGGCCTAGTCTATGATCTGAACGAGTCGCACATACACCCTAGTACATGTTCCTCATCGCTGAGGACATCCTTGAAGAGCGGAGGATTTCATGACATTTTTGATTGGTTGTCTTGTGTTTCTAATAAGTTGTTTAATAGTTGGCATGTTAAATCATATAATGAGTTGGTTTAGGTCAATCTTAACTAAATAATTATGAATAATTTTTATATTAATGGATTCATAGAATATTATATTAAATCTAGTATGAAGATAAAATCTTAAATGGTATATTTGCCTGAAATCCTTCTTATTTTTTATTCAACCGCTACAAGATGGGGATGTAAACATTTACATAATTTCCTTCACATTATTTGCGTCTGTAAGATTTTTGTCTCTTGTTTCTCCAATTATATGTCAATTTAAGAAGAGTAAGATTCTATGAGAATGCCACAAAACTTTAAATAAAAAAAACAGTAAATAAAGTTAGGAAATTCCTAATTTTGATCTAAAAAAGGATGTAAATCAGACCAAGTATCTCTTTTTAAGTTTGATTATTATCATCGGTGGCTCTTGAATTATAGGGTAATTCTCACTTTGCTCCCTAAATTTTAAAATTCTCACTTAGCCCTATGACCTTTAAATCGTTCTCATTTAATTCCTTTTGTTGTAATTTTTTTTAAAATGAATTTAAAAAAAGAGAGTAATGTAATCACGTGGTCTTTCTGTTTGAATTTCTATTAAAAACAAACATATAAAAATTTGCCTTGTTATTTTCACAACTTAAGTTTTATTGTTATAGTATTTTCTCACACAAAAATTAAAATTTAACTTTTTTATTACAATATTTTTCTCTCATATACACAACTCATGTTGTTAATTTGAGTAGTGAAACAAACAATTATATTTATTTGAATACAAAGTACTCTAATACTCTAATAGAGTATGTTTCTCTAATTCATGTACCCACGACAACTTTAGACTCGGCTTATACCAAAACCTGAAGGCTGAAGAGAGTATCGAGGGGAAAAAAAAAAAACCCCCCTTAACTTCAATTTTATGCCATAAATACTGAAGCCTAATTTTTGCCGTACAAATAAATTACTTAAACTCGACAAAAACGTAAAGTAAATCCAAATCACAAAGAAGTTGCGATGTAAATGCGAAAACATTTTTTCCTTTTCCATTTTGATTTTCGAAAGCTTATATACACAATTTTCAAAAAAATTGTTGTTCTGAAAGTGTATGAGTATAAAATTTTATCTCTTAAACTATCTCTAATATAAATATTAATGTTAATTGTATATTTACAATCAAAAATATGGTAAGATATGTTTTTTCATTTGTGTTCTAATGCGTAATGATATTTGAAATACTAAATCTACTTTGTTTCTATTATCATTAAACTTTAAAAGTTGTAAGTAAACTTCTAATTATAAAAAAATTTAAAATGTAAAAGTTATAATGATAATTAAATAAAAAATAAACATATCAACTAATATGAATCAAATGCTAAATTTGTCATATGTTGTATTTAATGGAAAATTTAGCACAAAATATATCATATGAAAATTTAGCACAACAGATAACATTCCATTGAAAGTTTTTTTTTTTTTTTTGCTCAAATGTTAAATTTACAATTGACACATCAATTAAAATATTAAATTGGAGATGCTCTTACACTTGATTAATACCATTTTTAACTAATACAATTATTTAACTAAAAAATATTAATCAAGAGTAAAAGGTAAAAATTCAAATACATAACTCTAAGGGAGCATTTGACTCCTTTCCCTAAAATTTCAAGAGAAATGAGATAAATACCTCTTAAAAGTATATATGTTAGGATTTCTACCCCTTACACTTAATTAAGGGTATATTGACAAATACCCCTTAAAAGTACATGAGTCAGAATTTTTACCATTTATTCTTGATTCATAACCTTTTAGCTAAATAATTACACTAATAAAAAAGTATTTATCAAGAGTAAGGAGTAAAGGACTATTATGACTAAAATCTAGACCCATGAACTCTTAACGTAAATTCAATCATTTTCTTTTGAAAAGTTAATCTAAATTTTTACTCCTTAGTCTAAATAAATAATTTTTTATTAGTGTAATTATTTAACTAAAAAAATTATAAATAAAAAATAAAGAATAAAAATCATAATTATGCACGTCAAGAGGTATTTTTGTTAATATTACCCTTTCTCCTTTTCAAACTTAAGGCCCCTTATGGGCTGGACTAGGCCTGTAGTAGGCCCAGCTAATAAGAAAACACAATGAGGTTAAATTCGTCATTTAGGAAAGAAATAGCCTATATATAACTCATGTTTTCAGTATCCCTTCCTTGCCTCCCGAAGCACTAGGGTTTCTCCCACGCAGTCCTGCACGTCGTATAATCTGAGACTTCAAAAAATGTTCATTTTCTTTCTCTTTTCATAATTTTTTTTAGTTCTTATTAGTTTTATTGAGCGCGGCCCTTAAGATCGCCTTCCTCAACAACCATGGAAGCGTGTCGAGTCATAGCCGCGCAAAAGCAATACACCATTTTCTGGGAAAGTCTCATAAGGGTTCTCCTTATGAAACTTTCCCATTTTTTCCCACCTAATAATTTTTTTTTATTGGGCAAATCCCATTTCCTAGGATCTGAATTATTCCTATTTTTCTCAACCCTTTTGGGGATTTGAGGAAATGGGATTTCAGGTCCATAGGTAACGCCTGTGGATTGTCTCAAATTCGAAGGTAGGTTACATTCTTACTTTCCCATCTTTTAATTTTCTCAGAACGGTTTTATTGTACTGTTTCTGTGCAATGCATTTTGTTGTCGTTTTTTGAGAAATGGGTTTGGCAAGGATGATGAATCAATTAGATGTGTGAAAGGTATTACTCCTTTGTGAACTCAGACTTTTGAGGCATTTAAATTGTCTGACTTGCCTGCCTCAGCGACTTTGCTCTGTTTTGTTTTTGCCTAAAATGGTTTTTTTTTTCGCATTTTGCGAAACGGCATGAGTTGTGTATTGCAGATAAACGACAGTAAATTTGGAAAACGACAGTAAATTTGGAAAACGACATGAAAAAGCGATGTTCAATTTGATTTTTCCGTCCACAGAACTTGTCGTTGTTGTGTATAAACGACCTGAAATGTTTACTTCACGAATACACGGAAGCAAATATTAAACCTTAGGGCTTTTAATTCAATGATTTGAATTTTGGTTAAGATGTGATTTTATGCGAGTTTTTTATTGCAGTAAAAAAATTAAATGGCGAGTTTTTTATTGTAGTAAAAAAATTAAATGTGAAGGAGAATTTTTTATTTAGTAAAATTTAAATCTTAAATTTGAATCAGCGAGAATTAAAATACTTGTTTGCGCATAAACGACATCAGATGTTATGTCGCTTCATGTACAAACGACAATTTTTTTTTGACAAATGAAAGGTTAGTCGGAAAATTTGTGTAATAATACTTGTTGACTTGTATAGTTGCGCATAAACGACATCTAATGACATTGCCCTTCAAGAAAAAACGGCATAATAATACCATGTATAAACGACAGAATTGTTTGCTGATATATAAAAGGTAAAACGTAAACTTTTGATGCAATAATACTTTATACTTGTAGACTTGTAGACTTGTAGTTTGCGCAGAATAAACGACGGAAGATAATTACTCTATAATCCCAGTATATAGCGCGTAATCGACATAAAATGATACGTCGCTTCATGAACATATGATGTCTGATATTCTTAGGATGTGTAGACTGTAGACTGTACAGTGTAGTGTACACTTCGTTTTACACCAACTACTAAAAAACTTTTCTACTAGGCAAGTTGTGTGATAAACGACATAAAATCATCTGTCTTTTGATATAGATCCACAGCAAAGTAGCAAACTTGCCCTTTCTAAAGAAAATAATAATAATAATAATAACTTGGCCTTGGAATCAAACGTCTGCCCCATTTTTTTTTTTTTTTTGAGGGAAAGAAGGCTTGCATTCAAACATAAAATTGCCAGCGTGAGTCAAAAAGAAAGGAATAGCATCCAAAAGGACCAAAACTGACTCATGAAAACCGGAACTAAAACCAAAAGTGGGATAAAGTGTTGGCAACCATAATCCCAGAACATGGAGTATGGCTAAGGAATGAACTATATAAGGAACCACATTAATAGCATCAACTTTACCAATTTAACAGATTGTAAAAAACTATACAAGTAAAAACGATTTTTTTTCTTTAATCAACAACAGATTTTTGTGCGAGCTAAAAACACAAAACCACGACCCTGTTCTTTTCGCGTGATTTAAACTTTTTGGCAAACGACAGGAGACTTGGATAAACACACCCACCACAAAAAAAAACAAATAGCACATGGGTCTTGATTTTTAGTCTTTACTATTGATTAATACCCTTTTAACTAATATAATTATTTGATTAAAAGGATATTAATAAATAGTATGCGGTAAAAAATCCTGACTCGTGCACTCATTAGAGTGCATTTGTCTCCCTTTCCCTTGAGCTACAACATCTGACATGTTATTTTATTGACCCTATTATAACATTTTGGTGCTCTATCGTTTTTCAATCCATTTGCTTGTATGAAGAAGCATCACTAGGTACAGGAAGACAAGCCATGAAATGGAAAAGTCAGCTAATTTTTATCAGCGTTTTTCAATTCTTTGACTAGCCGCAAATCCAACTATGAAATTCAATGCTATATCATTCAACTCTCATGTAATCAATTGTTCATCACTTAAAAACTGCGGTGAAGTAAAAACTAGCTTACCATAACATATCATTTTCAATAATTTCGAAAGGACTACTCAATAAACAAGAACAAACCACCATGTCAAAATACTCCTATACATTTCAACGATTCACATGACTTCAAGGTTTGTTGAAAAAAGGATTTCTCATCCTGGTCAAAGATTCATCGAGGAGTTAGAGGTCATAGAAGATTTTAAGCTGTCACAATCTAGAATAACCAAGCACAATAACGAACGGATAAGTACCATCTAATCAGCCATCCTAATCCATAAATGGTTATATACACCCTTTTCCAATCCAGTTGAAAAGCCCAAAAAAGTTAATAAAATAGGACTTTTTCCGGTAGACCTCCCTACCGCTAGTGCCAATTGACAATTAGATCACATCAAATTAAAAAGTATATTGGCTTATACGATCATCTTGTATTCAATTTACCTCCTTGTATTCATTTGTACGATCATATAAGCCAATTTACCTCCTTTGTATTCTTTTGTGTCCAGAGATACATAAAACATGACACAAAAGAAAAATGTGATGTTACTCATTTTACATTCATTCTCCAGAATCTATGATCAAGTACGACAATTGTGCATACAATCAATTTTGACCAGCATTTCTTTTTATCCATTGAACTATCAGAAACCATCAACAATTCTAAATCTCTTCTAAACCTCAGTATATATTCCACTGAAAGAAAGCTCAAAAACATGTTCTTTCCCTAACCAAGACATGCTCGTGAACATCAATATACCAAAAATCAAACAAAAAAGAACTAGACTTTCTCATGGAATCCAAGAAAATAAAAGGTATTTCTAGTCAAGAAAGCCAGTCTTTCTCCAAATAGCATTTCTCACCTGGCGAAGATCCCTCCCTTTCAGGGTCCTCCCAACGCCTTCAAGCACCGAGAACGTCGTCTTCGGCGACACGCCGGAACCTCTTGCGACGATCTCGTGCGGCGGCAGAACCTTGTCGTCTTCTTCCTCAGCATCGTCTTCGAAAACCTCGAAATTCCTCCGCTTCGCCATGGCCTTCGCCAGCAAGGGGACGTTCATCGGCGCAGATTGGTGCTGGAGTTTCCCAGCCGGCACCGACTGCAAGTATTCCCTCTCCTGAGAGCTCTGGCCCGTAATCGGAGGCCTCGGAATCACCGGAATCGACATCGTCACCGACGACGACGGCGAGATTGAGGCTTTCCGGCACAGGACTTGGTAGCCGCGATCGGACTCCGGAAGCACCGCCAGAATCCCCGACTTCTGCGGCTTGGCGAAACTGGAGCGGTGCCGGTTCTGGCCGGGGAAAACTCCGGCGAGGGCAGAGTCGCCGTGATCTTGACTCGGCTCCGAAAAATCGTTCGTCCAGAAAACCTCGGCCTCGATGAGCTCCCCGCCGGAGCCGGAGGTGGAACCGCCCGCGGAGGAAGACGGAGGCGAGAAGGTGAAGATGCCGAGGAATCGGTCGGAGGAAGGCGATCGGCTGTGGCGGTAGGTGGCGGATTCCATCGGAAATTAAGTATCGGAGAAGAGAATCATTGAGAGAGTGAGAGATGTGGCGGAGAGTCGCTGAGACAATTTTGCCTTTTTGAGGGTGTTTGGGAAGGAAGAAAAAGCGTGGAAAATTGACGTGTCGTGACTTGTGTGTGTTCGACTCGTGTGTTGTGTTGTGTTGCTCCCAGGGGGTGTAGGGTCACGTTCGATGATGACGTGGCCGATGCTCTTCTGGGGCCCGCGTTCTGTCAAATTAAAAAAAAGTAAAAGAAATGGACAATAAAATAAAATAAAAGGCACACCCACGTCCTTACCTTATCCAATCCACGCTTCCGGATGGCCATTTTTGTCCAATATCTGCCATTATTGAGATAATAAGTTTGATTCCTAATTCATCTGATAACTTTTTTCTAAAAATTTTTTGTTTAGTAACAGATAGGTATATTTATGTAAATTGCATTTACGCACTTTAACTTTATCGTTATTTACATGTTGCTCTTTGAATTTTTAATTTTAATAAGATTTTAAAATTTTATATTCCTTAACAATGCGTTTCATTTGATAACAACCTCAATTACTATACTACAATTAAAGGTCAATTTACCAACTAATGAAAGACTTTGAGTGTATTTGTGTAAAAATTTTGAGTAATTTCTATCCATTAATTGACGTCTTTTAGCTATTGAACTACAGTTATAGAAATTTGTTAAATGTAGGGTCATATTGTGATCTAAATTGCAAACACCAATAAGTGCATAGTGCACTAATGCAATAAACATACAGTCTAATGTACTTTATTAAATATTGGTAACAAAAAATGTTTTATTTTTCCTTTTTTAATTTCCGAAGAAATTATATTGTTATTTAATATTCTATAAGAACAATGATTATCAGCGTACTTTTTTAACAAATTACAAACTGATATACTTAGTTCCAATACTGATTAATTATGACACAAGTTCTCAAATTGTCTTACATAACAATCTTTAATTGATTAAAAAACCTTATAGTGATAACTAATACTTTTTATTCAATTGTTACATAACAAAATCTGAAGAGTTTCTTTTTTTTTCTTTTTTTTTTGGTGCGTTATTTAGTCTCTAAATTTACTAGCCATATAACCATTTGATTCCTAATTACTTATTGAGATATCATATTCAGTGACGATAATTAGTCCTTTTCATTTATATATAGCAATTTTGAAGAGTTTTTTCGTTAGTCACTAAATTACAAGCGTTATAACCAGTTGATCATTGAATCTGAAGATTGTTTGTTGCTTTTTTTTCGTTACTTTTATTCACAACTCTAAAACATTGGAATAAACTATCTAAATGAAGCAAAACATAATTTCCATGAAAAGAGAGAGAGAGAAAAAAAAAAAGAAAGCAAAAGCAAAACAAAGTCATAATGAGTGTGTTTGAAGTTGTTTTTGGTTTTATTTTTCACGTTTTTTTTTTTTTAAATAAATAAAAACGAGAGTGAAACGGAGTTTGACAAAATTAAAAATAAAAAACAGAAATGAAAATAATTTTTTAATTTAGTGTAAAATATGAGAGAAATGAAAAATGACTTTTAGTCGTTTTTCATTTTTTATTTTCGTTTTCTTATCTCTCGAGTAGAGAATGAGAGAGGGAGATATTAATAGATTTTTTTATACTGAAAAAATATCTTGATAAAACTACCAAACGCATTTTTAAAAATAATTTCTGTCTGAGATTAAAAACGTTTTCATTTTTATTTTCATACAAAAAAAATAAAAATCATTTTGGAACGAATTAAAATGCACCCAATATTTTTCTAATTTTGCTTGAAGTTAACGCATGGTTTGGATACGACTCCTACTTCAAGCGTAAATAAATTTATCAATAGAGTGTCGCCTATGAAATTAATCACTTCTTAGTCTATATGAAAAATGGCCATTGTGTAGTTTGACTGTATTATTAAGTAACTAATTTGCCATAACTAATACATTAACATATTCTGTTTACTAAAAACAATATATTATAAAAAATGACACTAGGCAAAATTTAGGTGACTATTACAATGATGAAGAAACATTTGTAATTTTATATTTGTTCTGCTCAGAAAAAAAAAAAAAAAAAAAAAAGCTGCTACAGAAACTTCTAACAATTAGAATTGAAAAATAATTGCCTTCTACTTTGGATTCTCTTGCTTTTAAGGTACTATTCTTTGTGCTGAGTAGTAAGCAATAAAAATTGACGTTTCTTAGAAAAAAAAAAAAAGAACAAGCGATAATTGACGTAAGTTGAGTTGGTGTAAGATTGTAAGGCTCGTTTATTTTATCGATTTGAGTTTAAAATTTAAGTTTTGTTACAGTAAAAAGCTCTCATAAACAATCACATTTAACTTTTTATTATAGTAAAAAGTTCTCACATAAAGTCACATCTCAACTCGAATTAAAAACTCAAATCAACGAACTGAACGCCCCAAGTTACGTGCCAAGTGGAATTCTTCACTTCCTGTATAATAAACGAAAACCCCATTGCAATGTGATTATTGAAAAATCAAGTTACATTGGTATCCCTTAAGTTTTGTCAATAATACATAAACACCCTATTATTGAAACTAATTACAACAACCGTTCACTTGACTAACACTATTAGTTTTTGAACTAAAATAACGGAACATAATGAAATAATCTAGCCATTTCTTTTAGATATTTATGAATGAAGCTAAAACAACATCACTGTGCGCACCTAAAAGCACAGACCATTTGAGATTCATTAATAGTTTGAGATCATTTTAGGACCCGTTTAGTTCGTTGATTTGAGTTTTTAATTTAAGTTAAAATGTAATTTTATGTGAGAACTTTTTACTGTAGCAAAAAAAGTTAGATGTGATTGTTTCTGAGAGCTTTTTACTGTAGCAAAACTTAAATTGGTGAAATGAACAAGGCAGTTTGATTTCAAGCTGCTTTTGTTAACTAATAAATTTAGGTGGTGAATGAGTGTCTTCCTCTCGCGAACAAAAGGGGCTTTTGACTCTAGTTTTCAATTTCAGATTAATTTTAGTTCACTGATTTGAGTTTTTAATTTGAGTTGAAATGTGATTTTATGTGAAAACTTTTTACTGTAACAAAAAATTAGATGTGACTGTTTTTAAGAACTTTTTACTGTAACAAAACTTGAATCACAAGGCAGTATGATTTCAAATTGCTTTTGTTAGCTAATAAATTTAGGTGGTGAATGAGTGTCTTCCTCTTGCGAACAAAAGGGGCTTTTGACTCTAGTTTTCAATTTCAGATTAGTTCCGAGGACGACATATAAGCAAGGTGGGGCTTAAAAAATTGTGAAAAGAGATAGAGAATACGTAATTACATTATTTATAAAAGTGTGTTTTGTTTAGACGAAAAAATTAAAATAAAAAGTGTTTAAATAAATTGATTGAATCGTTGAAGATTTAGATGAATAAGGGGCATTATTGCTATAAATTTGATTTAACTGTTGTATAATTAGTGAATTAACGGTTATACAATTTTGTTTTGTGATTTACGTGTTATAAACTTTAGTTAAATTAGGCTTATTAGCTTCGATTTATGAAGTTTATGTTTATAAATTGGATGTTTCTGCGGTAGATTCCTTTTCGTAATGCGTGTTTTTAACGTTTAAATCTCATTAAACTCATCAAAAGGCACATCAATAAACGACTATTGATTTTAATGTATATAATTATATGAATAATATTAAAAGACACATTAATAAACGATTTGTTAATATCAGTCATTTCATCATAACTGACTGTCAATCTTCTATGAAGATATTGAAAATAACAATAATTTTTTAATATTATTTATATATTTATTCATGATGAACGCACATAATAATAATTTATTGTTATATACTTAAAAATAATTTTTAATTTTTAAAATAATATCTATTATAATCAAATAATATAAGAGAATCCCGTTAGTCCTTTTAAGAGGTCACAATGGAGAAAATATCCCCACAAAAATGTTAATTGTTCACAGAAAAAGTTAGGAGACATTTGGTTCATGAATTAGAATCATAAAATTAAAATTATTTTTAATTTATGTGTATTTTTATGAGAGAAAATATTATAATAAACTATAAATTATGATTCAAATCGAGGTACGAATCTCTCAACTAAATAACCCATTATTTTTATCATTCGAATTTTCATTCGTAAACTGAAATTAGATGGAGCCGCAACTGGGACCCATCTTATTTGTCAAGGAGGAACACGTGTCCATTTTCACTCATAAAATTTTCCTTCCGCGAGGCACCGGAACGCCGCACACAGCTGCAGAAAAAAAAGCCAATAATAATAAGGGTCCTCTAATAACACCTCTCTTTTTGAGACTACGCCATGTAAAATTTCGATTGACTCCACTACTACTGGCTCTAATAATGCGAGTTCATTTTACTATCGTGGACATGCACACATCATAACTAAAGTTCAGCCAGCAGAAAGATGAAAATGTAAGTTGATCGATAAAAAAGAGAAGAGAAAGAAAAAGAAAATAAAGTAAAAAATAATACATATGAGTCTTATTATTTTTTTTTCTTTTCATAAGTGGGTAAAAAATGAGATAAAAAATAGGAATAATTTATTAAAGTAAGTAAAGTTATTAAATTATTATTTTCTCTATCAACATCTAATTAAAAAATTTAAAAATATAAAAATAATTTATGAATAAGATTTTTTATTTCATTCTAATTTAACTTTTAATATTAAATAAGTAAAAATAAGTTTATTTTCTTTCTATCTTTTCATACTAAATAACATAAAAAAATTAATTTTCTTTTCATCCTTGTTATTTTTCATCACTTTCACATTTTATTTTTATCTTTTTTTTTTTCTTCCTACCAATCATAGCATTCCTTGCATTCTTTTCTGTGGGACCCACCTCCCTCTCATTTCTCTCCCTTTCTTTTCACATCGAAAATACCAACAACAAAAAAAGAAAAAAAAAACAGACTAATGTTCAAAATACAGTGAACATCCACAACTTCCTTCAGATTCCTTTCAAAAAAAAAAAAAATGATTATTACTTGAAAATAACGCAAAAAAGGGTTTTTTTTTTAGATCGATCATGCACATTCCTGGCGGAAGAATTGCTCTGCCAGAAAAGACTTTTGACGAACTAGAAGGGGGAGGTCTTCTGCGTGCTGGGTTTGAAAGCTAGATCTGGGTTTGCCCAGATCAGTCGAACTTAGAACCTGAGAAGAAAATCCAAAATCCAATGAAAAAACCTGAATAAACAAAATCAATGAACTTACAGAAACCGATTATGAAACCATTTGGCGTGTCAGACTCAAAACCCCATTAACAAAGAATTTCGAATTCTTTTTTATTTCCATATTTTGTATCTCAACTTCCGTTATCTTGTGGTTACGGAGAAAAAAAGAAACTCTTTTTTTTTTCCTTCTTTGCTCTTCATATTTGAGCTCTGATTCTTTTGTTCTAGAGGATTTGTGTACATTGTTTTTGGTATTCGTTTATTATGAGCCATAGTTGATTGAAGGTTTTAATTTAAGTCAGATATGATTTTATATAAAGAGTTTTTTATTGTAATAAAAAAATTAAGTGTAATTATTTTTAAAATTTTTTTATTATAATAAAATTTAAATTTTAAATTTAAATTGATAAAATAAAAAAAAACGAGTAAAATTCAAAGCATTACTAGAGGTGAGAAAAAGGTTGTGTCTCTAAGGCTTCTCAGAGGAAAGGAAAAAAAAAAAGTAGACCGGATAAGATAAAATTAGGAATCTGTTGATTTCATCGATTTAAATTTTTAGTTTTAAATTTTAATAATTAAAAATTTTTAAAAAATATTAAATTTAATTTTTTTAATACAGTTAAAAATTTTTAAAATATGTGAACAGATACTAAGTGAGTATATTTAAGTGACATTTATTTTAAGAGTTTTATTTAATTTAAGATCATGATTCTTGATTCTGTCATAATATTTTTATCTCATAAAAAATTTAAATTTTAAAAATTAAAATTATGAAATATAATTTTAAATCTATGAATCAAACGTCACTTTAAAGTTACAATACATGTATTGTTGGCAACTACACGCCACATGATTTTAATTGAACGGTAACTAAAAACGTGCTCTACCGGTAGTCCAAAAAAAAAAGAAAAGCGTATCAAAGAAGGACCTTAATAATAAAAATAAAATATAATGGAGATTCTATAGCAGGAAATGTACTTTCACCTAGGGGCAATCTAGAGGCTCTAATTTAATCTTATTGAAGGTCCATGTATGTCCTCCCACATCTAATTATAGCCTAAATACAATGAACATAAATACAAAAATAACCCTTATGTTAATGAAATACAATTTCTCACCCCATATGTTATATAACAACAAAAATTAACCCTAATATTTATGGAAATACAATTTCTTGCCCCAAATGTGTTATATAATAACGAATTTTTTTTTAGAAATTGCTAATAAAACAACTCTTATAAATGATTGTTAACACATTTTTTTTTTCCTTTAAGAATAACAATTCTTTTTTGTAGATTATTTTTAAATATATAGATATGAGAAAATAACTTTTTTTTAAAGAACTTATGACAATGATTTTCAGTTTAATAAAAAAATTGTTTTTTAAGTTCTCAAAATTCCCTTTGAAAGTAATTATAATATGATTACATTATTTATAAGTAAAAAGAACCACTAAATTTTAAAAACTAAAAAATATCAAAATAATCACAAATTTAACCTTTCAACACTACAACAATTAAACCGAAACAAACAGCTATCCATAGAACAAGAGCAAAGAACAGAACAAACAAGCAACAAGGCAAGGAAATATGAAGAACCACCGAAACAACATGATATCAACTAGCAACTGCGAAAAGGAAGAAAACACAACTAGAAAAAGCAAATGAAAATCAAGCTCTGGAATGATCATCTGCTCAGAGGGGCAAAAAGAAAAGAGGAAGAAAAAGAAATAGCCCAGCGGCTAAGATTAAACCCATTACCACAATAAAAAAAAAATCCAAAAAATATAGAAATTTTATAAAACTAAAACGAGGCCAATTATAGAAAATTCACTATTTTTTCCCTAAAAAAAGCATTCAGCAGTACGCAAATCAATTTCCAAACTCAAATTAATTTCACAAATGCAAAATAATAACAATAATAATGTCAGTCTAAAAACCCAGATGCCGGCGGGTCTCAACGTTCGTACGTTGGCCGCAAGACACACCGTTCGCTAGACCCATCAATCGCTTGGTGGAAAGAAGTTGGTCGCGCCACCGGAACCTTCTCGTCGGAACTTCATCGACACCCCATCGAAGAAGTTGATCGCAGAACTTCATAGCCTATGTTTCCCGAGACCCATCGATCTCACGGTGAGATTTAATTGGATGTAAAATGAAATTTTATAAAATATTGAGGTAGTATTGTAATTACAGAACTTAAAAAGAAGAGTATTATAAAATGTATTTGTGCTTATCTTAGTTTTCATATGCTCTATCAATTTGAACCGTTAATTTATAATCTGACGGCCTACATTTTATACCCTACCGGGGGGAGAGTATACCCCCCTACCATAGAAATCCCCAAAAATTAATCTATCAAAAAAACAAAAAAAAAAAAAACACAGACGATAATCCATGTGCTTAAACTTCCGGAATCGGATAGATTGAAATTGAAATACTTTTCATAGTCGAGAGTTCCGTCTTCATACACTTCTTCTTCTCATCGCTTGACTCAGAAGACTTCTCAAAACCGCCATGAATTCCTTGGTATTTACGAATCTGCCACTCCCTCTCTTCCCTTCAATTCTTTCAATGGAGTTTCTTTGCATTCCTTTTTCTCTTAAATAATAAATTTTTGTGTTTCTTTTTTTTTTTTTTTTTTTTTTTTTTTTTTTTTTTTTTTTTTTGCATTTTAATGGAGCAGCAGAGAACTGTATCGGGATCGTCGCAGAGCCCTAGATCTCCGCCCTCGCAGCCGTACCTCTCAGTCTCAGTCACTGATCCTGTCAAACTCGGCAATGGCGTCCAAGCCTATATTTCCTACCGAGTCATCACGAAGGTATATTCTCCATTTCCAATTTTGTTAGGGTTTTTTTCTTCGGTTAATTGGGTTTTTTTGGTTTCTCTTTTTTTTTTTTTTTTGGCATTGAATTACGATTAATTCTTAGCTTTTCATGTGTATGAAATCGAATTCGCGATTAACAATTTTTGTTTGGCAGACGAATTTGCCTGAATACCAAGGGACGGAGAAGATTGTGATCAGACGATACAGCGATTTTGTTTGGCTTCGTGATCGGCTTTTCGATAAGTACAAGGGGATCTTTATTCCTCCTCTTCCTGAAAAGAGTGCTGTAGGTAACGAAAACAACTAAGAACAAGCAATCCCTTTTTTTTTTTTTTTATGTTTTCTTACTGCAAAAATGGAAATTCGTTGATTATGTTGCTAGAGAGTAATGGGTAGAAGTGATTGGCATTGACTTAGAACTCTATATTTCTATTTATGTGAAGAGAAATTCCGTTTTAGTGCTGAATTTATAGAGATGAGGCGTCAAGCATTGGATGTATTCATTAACCGAATAGCATCACATTGCGAGCTTCAGCAAAGCGATGATCTCAGAACTTTCTTGCAGGCAGATGAAGAGGTGATGTTAAATTTTTTCAATTTATTTCAGGAATATCTTGTCATGCTTAGAATGCATATAACTTGTGTTTTTAGTATTTATCAGGGTCAATACTATTTTTTTTTTTTTTGGTAATATCATCAACGAGATACTATTGAATTAGATTATTTTATCTGATATTATTTGTTTTTGTATTTTTCTTTAGACGATGGAGAGATTAAGATCTCAAGAAACTGGTATCTTTAAGAGGAAGCCAGCTGACTTTTTGCAGATCATCAAGGTACTGAGGTCTCTTAATAGCAATTTTTTAGCGGACTCGGGAAAGTGAAACCATGAATGACTTTTTCACGAGCGTTTTACGAATTTTTGTCCAAAAATATAATTTGGAAGCTTATTATATGCTGTCTCTTGCACATGAAAGATTTATCTACAGAATTTCAAGTGCTTTCGAACTGCACATCCTGACTGGGTTCTATCATAGTATGCAGGAGTCAGTTTTTTACTGTTTACATGTTATACTAGATATTATTATCTATTTGACTCATCGTTGATAATGTGGAAATCACTTAGCCAAGCAAAAATGATAAATATGATGTGGGATCTTTGTGGTTTTTAACGCAAGGTTGCACTTATGTGAAAATTCATAGAAAGTGTTGGTCTTGCTGCTATCCATTGGAGGTAAACTGATAAAGGACATGGTTTTTATTTTTGGAGATATTTTCAAGAATCTGATATACTATCAGTGAGTGCCAAAGTCCAAGTGCAAAGTCAGTTTTTCCTTTGTACCTTCTTTAGATTTTCGCTTGTGCATTTATCTTCCTTGCCTAATGAAATCAGTAAGCTCATGTACTATAAAATTGTTCTTTTGGGACTGTCAATTTGATGGGATTTTTTTTGTCTCTTTGTATGGCAGGATGTCCAAACTAAAATGAGTGATGTAGTTCTTGGAAAGGAGAAGCCAGTGGAAGAATCAAATGCCGAGCATGAGAAATTGAAACACTATATCTTCGAGCTTGAAAACCACGTGGCTGAAGCCCAGAAGCATGCATATCGTCTTGTAAAGAGACACAGAGGTAATGAGAATTTTTAAGGTCTGATTGAGTTAAGCTACTACCGCTTCTGATTTTTAATGTTCTTTAGGGCCATTATAGAATGGATTCAATTCGGTAAATTTGTGATTTTTAAATATGTTTCCACAGAGTATGGCGAATCTCTATCAGATTTAGGAAGGGCATTCAAACTCTTGGGAGCTTGCGAAGTTAATGCCCTTGGGAAGGCATTTTCTGAGCTTGGAACCAAATCAGAGGCAATATCAACAAAGCTGCAAAAGGAGGTAGGCTTACACAAAAACAGTTTATATCTATGGTTTTTCCAATAAAGGTTTTGAATCCACAAGTTCATTGAATCAGCATACACCATTGAACTATCCTACCTTGCAGGCTCACCACCTTCTACTGAACTTTGAAGAACCCTTGAAAGATTATGTTCGTGCTGTGCAATCTATTAAGGTGAGACATTTTTATTCAGCTAATATTTAAGAGACATTTTGACTAGCTGCACCAACAGACAGTACACGAAAGGTTTTGATACGCAATGTCGATGCAAGAGTATAAGTTTATGGATTATGTGTAGAGGATTTCCCGCTTAGTCTGAGTAATCTTGAGCTTGGTTTTGCTGTTTCTTCAACAGGCCACAATAGCTGAAAGAGCCAATGCCTTCAGGCAACATTGTGAACTTGCAGAAACAATTAAGTTGAAGGAGATAAATCTGTATGTAACTTGTTGATCATTTCCCCCTGTATTTTGTGTTTTCGTTTTATATCCGCTATTACAGTGCTTTATGGCAAAACACTGCAAGCAAAAGAACGTTATCAAATAGTATATTGTGCACTATAATATACACGGCTGATTTCTAGTTCATCACTTCTTGTAAATAAGAAAATATGTTCATCACTATCCTTACACGGGTAAAGAGATTTATGTTCTAATCCCATATTAGATTTAGCAGAATTACACTTTCTGAAGACCTTATTTCTGCCGCTTGGACTGTTATAAGTTTATCATTATTGATTATTAATTTATTTTTCGGTGTGTAGTGACAAACTAATGCTGACACGATCTGATAAGGTTGGGGAAGCTGAGCTTGAATACAAGGAGGTAAATTGGCGTATACGATCATCTTGTCGTACAAATGTTGGAATTGTTAGATGACCAAAATTGGTTTTGTGATGCAGTTGAAGGCTGCCAGTGAGGAGGCTACAAGAAGATACGAGACAATTGTGCGACGAATGAATGAAGAGTTTCTGCGCTTTCAGGAAGAGAAGACCAATGATATGGGTATTGCTTTCCATGAATTTGCTAAAGGGCAGGCGCGTCTGGCTAATGGCTTTGCGGATGCTTGGCGAAGTCTCGTCCCTAAACTCGATGCATATTCTTCTGTCAGTCAATGAATGGGGAAAGCACCCTTCCGCTTGCGCGGTTGACACGAATAGCAGGGCAGCTCTTGCTCTGTAAAACATTTTGTCATTCAGGAGTTTTGTTCTGCTATTCTGGTCTTGCACCAATGTGGTTGTTTTTTATGTTTTTTTTTTTTCCTGTACAAATTCAAAGTTAGGTGAAAAACTGAGAGTTTACATTTTAAGTTTTTGTGCAGAGTAAAACGGAATAAACTCGTGTGTATCCCACACATTCATTTTACATATTTAAACACACTCCCATTAGTTTCTCGTTCACTCGTGGATTGATTATGCATCCTCTTCATCTGAGATTGTGAGATGGATGTTGATCAGGCAAGGAAATCTTGCATCTAAAGCCATCTTACGGCAGCGAAAAAGTTGTTTCATAGGGAGTACGCTTTTCTCTTGGCTGGAACATAGTCTGTATACATTGGAAGTATTAGAAAATTGCTGATCAAGGCTTTTCTAGCTCTGCTGAAATCCTTGTTTGAACTTTGAACTCAACAAGGTCATTGATACAAGAATTTACCCCCTGTTTGGTTCAGCAATTAGAACCAAACAAACGAAAATAGACCACGGGAGTCGTGACCTCGCTTAACTCTGCTCTTTTTGGTCTATTTTTAACATAAATACTAATAGAAGGGGTTAAGCACACTAATCCAAAAAAAAAAAAAACAGACTAATCAAAAAAAAAAAAAAAAATAGTTCATGCGTTTAAATCAATGATTCTGATTAACTTTGTGAGAGAACCATTGGTGAGATTTTTTTTTATTCAAATAAAATTGTAAGAGGAAAACATTATAATAGAATCAAAATTATAAGTTTAAATACATCGACTAAACATACACTAAAATTGATGGGTACATATGAGAATAATCCTTATTTGTTTATTTGTTAATAACAATTTACATCTTGTTAATCCATCCATCCATCCATAACTAGACAACTTTTTCGTATGAGAGGACACTAAGGGCTTGTTTGGTTCAATAATTCAAACTGTGAAGATTTAAATCTTTTTGGTTAGAACTGTAGTGATTCAAGTTGTGATCCGAACTGTTGTTTGGATATGCAAATAAATTGTAATTTGAATTGGGAATAAAAGCAGAACCGCATTTGGATAAAGTGTTAAAAACTGTCATTAGAGTTTTGTAACAAATCTTATAAAACATCATTATAATTGCATTAAAAAATATGCAATATGAGTGAGGATTTTGTTCCTTTCTTCATTACGAACATATTAAAAAAATCATTTCAATCAGAATTAAAAAAAAAAATTTTGTCATTTTTAAGATTGAAATTGAAGAGAGAAAAAAGTAAAATCTGAAATTATTGGACTGTTGACAACAATTCAGATTATTAGGGAAGAGAAAAATTTTAAAATCAACAATTTGAGTTGTTCTTGAACCATTCTTAATAGTTTGAATTGTCCTTAAAATTTTGTCCTCCAAATACCAATTTAAATTTTGAATTAAAGATTAAATCTTAAACATTGTTGAAACAAACATCATTATGTTTTTCATATGAGAGGACACTAAACAGGATTTTACATTGGTTGCAATTTTTTCTTTTTTCCTGCTAAAAATCATCACTAATATGTTGTTTTAATTGGTCCCACAAAATTAAACCGTCCTTATGGGGGTCCCCACTGCCAAACAAGAGCAAAGAAAGTCCAGAGCCAAAAAAAAAAAAAAAAGAGAGAGAGAACTGAGAATCTGAGAAGGCCTATCCTATCTTCTCTACTTCTCTATCTACGTTTTCCAGCCAGCCATTTTTGCCCAAAAAAAAAAAAAAATATATATATATATATATACTTTCTTATCTCCATCTGAGAAGCATTAGCCATCAGCCATGGCCTGTGCCTCGAGGTCCCTGCTCTACTCCACGCGTGTGAACTCGCACGTGCGACTGTCTCCTCCTCCGACTGCGTCTCAGCCATTGGTCTTCTTCGGTTGCGACAACGTTTCGTTTCCAAAGCTAAGCGAGCTTTCCTGCTTCCACCGTTACTCACCGGCGGCGGTCAAGGCTTCGCCGGGAAGTGACGGCGTTCTGCCGGCCGACGACGGAGTCTCTTTGGGGACCATGAAATTGCCTTCCGACACCGATCTGCAGAGATTCGAGTCTCTGCTCTTTCAGGTATGGTTTTCATTTTTACGTTTTGTTAAGGTTTTTTAATATAAATTTGACGTAGATTTAACATGCTGGAATAGCTCAGTTGGCTAGAGCGTGTGGCTGTTAACCACAAGGTCGGAGGTTCAAGCCCTCCTTCTAGCGTTCTTTTTCAACTTTCTCCTCATAAATCTTTAAAAATACCATCAATAAAATAACGTTATTGTTACCCTTTTTGTTAAATTTATTTTATATTTTAATAACTTATAAGTTATCTTTCATATTTTATATGATATTAATATTAAAATTTTATGTAGTGATGACATAAATAATATAGTTAAAAAAAATAATAATTAAATTTAAAATTTTCTCAAAAAATATTATTCTTTAAAAAATGAATTTTTTTTGGACGCGTTAGAAACTTATTCTAAAATTATTTTATTTTTTGTATGAAATGAAAATGAAAACGTTTTCAATCTCAGACAGAAATTATTTTTAAAAATACGTTTGATAATGTTATCAAGAGATTATTTTCAGTATAAAAAAAGCTCATTAATCTCTCTCTCTCTCTCTGCTCGAGAGGAAAAAACGAAAATAAAAAATGGAAAACGACTAAAAGTCGTTTTTCATTTCTTTCTCATTTTACACTAAACTAAAAAATCATTTTCATTTCTGTTTTTTATTTTTATTACGTCAAACACTGTTTTAAAAATGTTTTCATTTTTTCTTTTTCAAAAAACATAAAAAATAAAAACGGGATCAATTCTAAATACGACTTTTATTTTTGTATTTCTCATTTTTTTTCTCATAAATACAATATTTATTTGGGACAATGTTATTTTTTTTCCCTCGCGGACTACAATTTCAAACCTTTTATATTAAAACGTATTACAAAACGAATTTTTGTTCAAACTTATATTAAACGGGTCAAATATCTATTTGTTCTATTATTGCGGGGGAAAAAAAAAGGTTCTAATGTCTTTGGGATTTTGATTGACAGTGGGCCAACAGCCTTTGCCAAGGAGCCAACCTACCACTCCCTGTCCCTTTGAAGGTAAAGAAGAATCCATCCATTGTCCATTTTTATGCTACTTCATGCTTTCAGATTTTTTTTTTTTTGGAAAAATTATATTTTAGTGAACGTTTGGTTCATAGATTCAGAATTATGATTCAGATTCATTATTGATTTACGTGTATTTTTTATGAGAAAAATATTATAACGAACAACGAATTATGATTCAAATCATGATATGAATCCTCATACTAAACACTCTCTTAGTTTCTTGAATCACATATTGGGATTTTATGGAATTTTCATCTCTCAATGGAATAGGTAGACAAAATAGCTGGAGGAGCTAGGCTGGGCTTCATCACAATTGGGGATGGGAAAACTGAGGTGCTCGTGTACATTGATTGCCTAGTTTTTCCTGCGACTGATAGTTCTGGACCAATCTTCCGAGCCATTAGAAATGGAGCCTCGAAAGATCAGCCCCCTCCTGGCGAGCCAAGGATCATGAGAAGTCTTCTCCAGGCCCTTCAAAAGTCTGTTGAAATTGCAAGACTTTGAACCAAAATGTTTCTCATATGAGACGTAGTCTTGTAAATTTTTTTTTTAAAATAACAACAATTTTTTTTTTTTTTTTTTTATAGTTGTGTGTGTGTATATATATATATATATATATATATATGCTTTGTTAACAAAACTATTTAGCCGTATAATTATAGACTAACTCCTAAAAATTTTAATAATTTCAAATACCATGTGTCTATCATATCACTGCCAAAGGTCCAAGAAATCTGGATCATTTTTTTTTTTTTTTTTGAACTTGAGGGTGGGGGATTTAAAGTCTTTATCTTATGGTGAAGTCAAGTGTGGAATTACCGTTATGTTATGCTAGTAACTACGAAATTCTAATAATTTATGATAAGGTGGTTATATTAACACTTATTTTTTTACCCTCCACGACCCTTTTAGTTACACACCTCACGTAATTTTTAAAAAATTATATTTACTTTTTATACACCCTGGTTATTCTGAGATCAGTGTTAACTATTTTTTATAAAACTGTTAATTCTTAAGCAATTTACTATTCTTTTCACACCCATAATTTTTTTAATTGTTACTTTAATATTGCATTTATTTATTTTTTACCCAAATATTTAAACAAAAAAAAAAGTCAAAATAAATAATCCAGGGAAAAAAAGAAGAAAGCAAAATGAACTGAAAACTAAACAGCAACATAAAATTATGTTATTTGAAAAACGATTAAAAAAGACAATGGCAAAGGGAAAATGTAAACTCGGTATCAATAAAACCGCATATCTGCAATAACAACCAAAAAAGACAAATGAAATGGTAAAACACAACCTATCCCACTATAAAAAAGAAAAAAAAAAAAGAAAAAAAGAAGAAGCAAAAGAATAATCATTAAACAACAAATAAGAAAGAAAATTTAACATACCTCTGTACAATTTTTTGGAATAGTCAGATGAACATTAGTTTTTGTTATAGATTTCATAATAGCAATAGATATAGTGTAGGAATATGATATGTGGGGTGTGTTGAGAAGAAAAAATAAAAAAACTAGTTATCATTAGTTTACTTTTTATAATAAATTTTGATGATGAAATTAAATCTAACATAATTGTCCTTTTTTGTCATTTACGTGAGACAACTAATTTTATAGATTGTTAAACACTTTCAAAGTTGAACCATGATAATATTTTGTATTATCAAATATTGTAGTAGATGGGAAAAATTAAGGGGTTACAAACCAACTCGAAGTGATCCTAAGGAGATTATTGGTCTATTAAGAAATGCTTCTTGGCAATTATTCCTTTTTAATGTGTTTGAATTACAACATTTTTTTTATGGATTAGTGAAGGTGGTTCTAAACTTCTAATTGTTTTTTTTTTAATTCTTTTTATTTTGCAGCTTCCAAACTAAAATGGGTCTTTCAAACTATGGTCTCCCAAATTTTCAGAAAATAGATCTCGTTCATTTCACCGATTCGAGTTTAAAATTTGAGTTTTGTTACAGTAAAAAACTCTCAGAATCAGTCACATCTAATTTTTTTATTACAGTAAAAAACTCTCACATAAAAGCACATCTCAACTCGAATTAAAAACTCGATCTCTGGCCTCTGATTTATCTTCTTTGTATGCTCTGCAGAGCTAAATAATGTGTGTATATATATCTGCTTTGTTACCAAAACTACCTACGCAGCGGCCAAACTCTAGCCTAAATTGGAACATGTTCCACTTTCTTCGCACTTCTTCGTTCCTTGTTAACGATTTCTTGGACTGATTCCTTGCTAAACATTTCAAATTTGGCTAATCTTGCTTTTGCTTCTTAAGAGAGAGTTGTCTGGGAAAGAGAGAGAGAGAGGGGGAGTGGTGTGACCCATTAAGAAAAGAGAGAGGGGGAAATGAGGTCATCTGATCCGTCCATATTTTTTAATCTGAAGGTAAAAAAAATCCCGATTTTATTTATTAATTATTATTATTTTTTTATGTTTACTTATTAATTTTGGACTTATTTGTAGTCTTATTTTGTCTATTTTAATATGCTTTCGTACTAAATTTTCAGTATTGTTTAAATAAAAATGATATAAATGATTTAATAAAAAAATAAAATTTAACAAAAATATACTAAAATAAAATAAAATCACACCGAACTAAGAAAACACAAATTAAACAAAATAAAATTAAATTGATTTAAATACAATAAAATAACTTAAAATTTTCTTTATTTATCTTTTACTTCAAATCTTTTTACTGGCGTGTTTATTTCTTTTAGGTCTTTTTTTTTCTTCTTTTAAAAAAAAAAAAAAATAGTTTGACAACCATTGTTTTACGATAAAAACTTGTAACCTAAAAAACCATTAACTTATTAGTCATTGCCAAAACGTTTTCTTGGATGACACGTACAAAAGGCGTTGATGAGGAGTTGCGTCCAAACTTATAACACAATCCAACCGCTACAAACAACGGCCATAGCGGTGAAGAAAAAAGTTGGCATCCTGACACGTGGCACGAATCCACAAAACCTCATGCTTCTCTGTCTTGCTCCGAAACTTTTAGATGCTCTTTTAGATTCCAACTCCTTCTAAAACCCTGTTTCTCTCTCATGAAAATGTGCAGATAATGAAAACAAAACAATGGCTACTTTCTCTCTCTACTCTCATCGTTTCCCTCCGAAGCTCCTCGATTTCACCGAATCTAGAACCCAGGACTGGAACCGTAGACGGCGCCTTTCTCTAACCACATGGACTTCCTCGCGTTCGCGAATTATCTGTTCATCTTTCAAGGACGATTCTCTCGGCGATAGCTTCTCCAGGTCGGTTTGTCTTGTCAATTTCTCTTTACTGTTTGGTTTCCGAGAAAGTTCAGAAATGAGATTATTCATATCATGTCGTTTGGTAAGATTCCAAAGTAAATGGTCCTTTTAGCTTTTTTTTTTTTTTTTTTTTTTTTTTTTTTTTTTTTTTTTTTGGTGGTAAGTGACCAAAGTTCTGTTAAATTAGGAAAATCATCGTTTTTCTATAAATGGTTAATCAATTATGTACTGAGTTGTGATTTATCAGTGATTAATTTGGTGGTTTATCTTTGATTAACCAATATCTGTAAGTGATTAACCAATTTCAATCAATAGTTAATTTATCAGTTTGTGAGTAGTAAATTATTGATAAACCAATTATAAATGGTTAATCAATTTGTACTGAGTTGTTTATCAGTGATTAATTTGGTGGTTTATCATTGATTAACCAATATCTGTAAGTGATTAACCAATTTCAATCAATAATTAATTTATCAGTTTGTGAGTAGTAAATTATTGATAAACCAATTATAAATAGATTTTTTTAACGATAGGCCATTGGTATATCATTGATTAATCAATGTAAAAAACAGTCATTCACCTTAAAAAAAAAAAGTTGAAAAAAAGTTTACTTGAAAAAAAGTTCGGCCATTAATTAAAAAGAGATGGCCAATACCGGTTACCCAACTAATTTTCCGGTACTATTTTGGCTTTTATTTTATTTTATTTTATTTTTTTCAATTTCAGTAACTTCTGCATTATAGAAGGGCCAGAGACGGTCCAGGATTTTGTCCAAATGCAGCTCCAGGAAATCCATGACAATATAAGGAGCAGAAGGAATAAGATTTTTCTCTTAATGGAAGAGGTCAAATTACTTTCTTTAAAAAAAATTTGGAATTTTATTTTTTTGTGTGAGATTCAAAATTTTAATTAATATTTCTTTTCGTTTAGGTAAGGAGATTAAGGGTGCAACAAAGGATAAAGAGTATAGGTGATGTTGATGAGAACGGCGTGGAAGAGCCTTACGAGATGCCTGATATGCCTTCATCGATTCCTTTTCTTCCTCATGTTGTAAGTTAATCATAATTCTACAAGGAAGCTTATAAATTAGGATATTTGGTTAAATATATATATATATAT